ACTATGTCAATGGACGTCGTAAGGTGAGGCAGGGAATTCCTCCTCTCCGGACGACTGATGGTCCAACTAGAACAGCCATAGAAGCAGCAAACGCGTTGCGGACGCAATATGCTCCCACATTTCAGAGGGTCTTACCATCAGGCCATCTTCCAACTTTTGTTTTCCCGCCTCTAGGACTCACCCACATCTCTTTTACTGCCGAAGCTGTTTTGCGGAAGCTGACGTCTCTGCGCAACCACAGCTCCCTGGGAGTCGACACCATTCGCCCAGAGGCACTGGGAGCAACAGCAAGACAACTGGCAAAACCTTTGGCACAGTTCTTCCAGCGCTGCTTAGACCAGAACCAGATTCCTGCGATGTGGAAACTTGGAATAATAACTCCGATTCACAAAGGCGGAAGCAGGACTGAGCCCTCAAACTACCGCCCAGTGTCCCTTCTCCCTGTATTATCCAAGGTCATGGAATCTATTATTGCCGATGCGTTGGTGTGTTATCTAGAAAATTGTAACATTATTGCTCCCAAGCAACACGGCTTTCGTCGACAGCGATCATGTACGACGAAGTTATTAATCGCGCGGAGTAGTTGGACCGAGTCAGCTGATGCTGGAGAGGCCGTTGATGTGATCTACTTGGATTTGTCGAAGGCGTTCGATCGTTTAGATCATCGGATTCTCCTTTCCAAGCTCCAATATTACGGGATCGGTGACCCTCTCTTGAGCTGGATCGCCAACTTTCTCCTGCAACGACAATTAGTGGTGAGAGTCCGGAGTTCCCTATCTGAACCCATACCAGTCGAGTCTGGTGTGCCCCAGGGCTCAGTTCTAGGTCCACGGTTGTTTTTGGTATTCATCAATGACCTTGCACGGAATATCGCTTCAAATTTCCTGCTGTTAGCTGACGATATCAAGATATGGTGCCGGATTCAAGCGAATGCCTCAGCACAAGTACCTTCAGTGTGACCTAGATACAGTACATGATTGGTCAACCTGAGGTCCGTTACAGTTCAACGTGGACAAATGCAAGGTACTCTCCGTAAGACTGCTGAGTACCTATTAGAACAAGCTAGGAGCACAAGTACTACAGCGCTCATCCGTCGAACGCGATCTTGGCGTCCTTGTTCAGGATAACTTGATTTGTTCCAAGCAATCCACAAAGGCCTCGAAAACTGATAACCAGCACGTCGGATTCCCACGGCGGACGTTCGGACAAGTAGACACCACTATTTTCAAACAGATGCTGAATGCGTATGTCTGTCACCATGTCAAATACGCAATCCAAGCCTGGCAGCCATGGCTGAAGCACAACCTTACTGCGCGGGACCAACCTCAACGTCAGGCTTCTAGATACGTCATTCGAATGTGCCACATTCCGTACGAGCAGAGGCTGAAACGTTTGGGAGTATTCAGCGGACTATCGCCGACAACGAGGCGACTTGATTATGACGTATTTGATTGTACACAACCCGAATCATGTGTGCCGCTCTTTACTGCAGCTCAGCAGTAACACTAAGCTTAGAAGTCACTCCTTGAAATTAGCAGAACAATACAGCCGTCTGGCGTGCCGTAGAAACTTCATTTCCATTCGTCTGTGTCAACCATGGAATGCTCTCCTTGAATCTGTTGCTTCTGCACAGACGCCAGACAAAGTTAAAATTTGGTTGGATGACGCACTCCTCCGTTTACATGTTGCCACTTGACGCTACCCTCCATCCTAATCCCTGGAAATACCTTGGATTTACTTTTTCGCCTATTGAAACTATGGAAACGCTCGGGGTGCAGGTTACTGAATCAAAAACGATAAGTACATTATTCTGACAGTAAAACTACTAACTGCTTTTTTCATTAACGGTTTTCGCTAACCCATTAGACTACCCCACGGGGCTTGTAAGGCAATGCTCCTCAATCCGTATAAAATCACTGTTCATCAGCATTGTATTTAAAGATTTGGCGGAGGGTGAATATCTGATCCAGACTCCCACGGATAATATGGAAGCCAACTTATTCTTCCTTTTACTGCGACTCACGAATCAGAGACATTTCACGAGGCTGAACGGAGGTCATTAGATTGAAGGCGACAAAAATGTGACTACTCTCCAGCTGATTGGTGCACGGTGCGCGATCACTCTTCTTACGAATCGGGACAATAACTGACTGATCCCATAAATGAAGCACGTTTTCTTCATGCCAGTTTTTGGAGATCAGTGAGATTTACTGATTGGTGATTATTGCGCCGCCATACGTGAGCAGCCTTGGAGGAAGGTTGTCCGAGCCGACAGCTTTGAATCGCTTCACGTGTGGAATCGCAAGGCAAACTTTCGCTTCGTTGCTTGGATCAAGTGTGACGACCAACGGCAGGCCGCTTGGTTCGCAAGGCATTGGGTGGTGAGGGCCAGTTGAACCGGGAACGAAAATGTTCAGCTCAACGATCCGAACCTCTCCGAGGTTAGCGATCGCTGAACCATTTGCTTCTCAAATAGTATCAGTAACACGATGTTTCCTGTTGTCACTGGACCGAATGAGCTGGAAGAACATGCTAGTATTATCAGATAGGACAACGGCTTCCAGTTCGGTAGTGCGATGGGAACATGAGGTTTCGTGATCACTACGTAGGCTTTGTTTGAGCCACCGACTGACAGAAGGGCGCACTTCACCAGGATCAGACTTCGATGAGATACTTCTGCGGCGGTGAATCCAGGCCTTCATATGGTGCCGAGTAAGATTGCAGCTTGACAGTCCGGAAGGTATCATCTTCTGCATAAGTGTACAGTGATGATTAACACCTTGAGTTGGTTCGTGGATGAGTGCGTCTGCCAGGGAAGGTTGATAGTCTAGCTGAACCGAGATAGCAGCAGGGTCTATTCATATTACCCTTAAAATGCTTCGTTTTCGGGACTCTCCGGAACTCATGCAGACGTTCGCACAGACTCGAGTATGGTGCGATTCAAAAAATATGGACCAGGTGTGTCTGCAATACCGTACACTAATACACCATGTAAAACTGATTGCATTGTGATCAATTTGAGACCATGCTTGAGTCGGTGAAGCAGGACGTCAAGTAGCAGAGCGTCTCCTCGTATACACGAAGTGTACGCTCAAGAGAAACAGACGATTGCCTTCCCACAGTGTGGGAAGTCTCGCTCCGTTATTTGATTCCCTCCCATAGAGCGCACGATGACCACCGTGGTGACGTCAACATGGCAATAGACGATCTACCCGTGGGTTGAATGCCCAGCAATGAAAACAATATCGGGTTTACATGCTTTGCTCAAGAGCTGGTAAATTTCACGATAAAAGTCGTCACTGACTGAATCACAGTTGTAGTCAGCCGGTGCGTACGCGGGGATCACGAACAGATTACGTCTCTCCTCGCGAAAGCTGTTGGTCCTGAGTGACTCCCGAAACCGAACTGCACGGAGTCGGCTGTTAATCGGAAGCCAGTTCAGCAGTGCGTCCTCAGCGTTGATACTTAGCGTTAACCGAACACCAGCCAAGTCTGCCGCGACTGGTTTTGTTTCACCAGCTAGACACATGAAATAAGGATACTATGGGAATGTCAACTAAGTAACAGTGTTGGGATCTTACAATCGGGTTTCGGAAAGACAGTAAACATCAATGGCAGTGTATTACATATGCATGCGTACGTACACTGATGTATGCCAAAAGGAACGCAGGTCGACGCCGAAGGATGGTCACTGATCTAGCATGATGCGCGTGGTGTACCCCCTGGAAACAGGACTCGGCTGGTAAAAGACAGTGCTTAGTAACAAATGAACAATAGATGGGTGAAGTAGGTGCATGAGTTACGGAAGAACGAGTAGGTTAGCGCGGTACAGCAACCAAACGATACATGGTTTTGGCAGTGGGCGTGCTACTAACTAGTTGCCCAAGTCGAAGTAAGGAGTTATCATAGGGGGCACCATTCCGAGTTATTGACTGAATAGCCTGCCCATAAGGCATCGGAGCGAGTTCAGGAAATCGCGCTCATTGGAAGCAGGTGACTGATTGCTCAGTTCATATGCCCTTTAATTGATGAATCACTAAACAGGGGCCTAATTCTCCCCATAACTTCGGCACACACTTGCAGAAGTACAATACTCCACCTGCGTGAAGCAAGCGACATTGAGGTTATTTAATTGCGGATAACCTGCGTCAAATCGTTGTGTTGTTACTAAGATATTTGTGGCTTTTTATGAGCAGAACTCTTGCAAGACGAAAAAGGACCACACCGTGAAACATTGTCGCCGAACATTTTGCAGGAACGGGGTAATTCCGGGACTTGGAGTAGAACATAACACGCATTGGTTGACAGTTGACGCCCTGATTACCAGGCCGTCGAGCTTTGCTAGAAATGCATGGTATATGGATAAGGAATTTAACTTTGGGTCAGTCAGAGGATGACATATCAACGTAGATCGTTCAATAAAGGTTGCCCCTGACCAATGTCCAGCAATTGTGGGGGTGGTTGAAATTGGGCATATATATATATATATATATATATATATATATATATATATATATATATGCATCCAATTACAACCTCCCTCACAATTACATTATAGAGCCCGTAGAGTGCGAAACGGTTATCAAATATCATTTCGTAAGGGGCCACACCTTATGTAGAACATATGATGAAGTGAGAGTGGCATATGGTGATAATGTACAAACATATGACACTGGTCAGAACTGACATCGCCAGTGTAAATGTGCTAGGACTTTAGTGGAGACAGCTTCCATTTTCCGTCCCCCTCTTCTGCTATTGACGAGGACACCATCAACAAAACGGAGATCTGTACTGCAAATACTACTAAGAAATCGGGTATTACTCCAGTGCTCAGGGTGATTGGATAGTTGGAAGCAAACTTAACTATTACTATCAAAAGACCCCGTGGTGCTTTTCAGTAAGACGATTTCACAACTGTTTGTGCACGTCAGCTTGTGTGGTTACACTTCACACATCGCCAGTATTGACTAGCAGACCAAATTAATTGGAAAATGACTTACTCGATTGTGGTTTGATCACTGATAAACTTTGCTTTGATCAGCAGTCGGTCCAATCTTGACAGCACGGCAATCAAATCGGACACGGTTGCCGGACGGCCGACTTGTTGATAATTGCGAGAGAAATCACCCACACGATTTGCAAATCCGACGCTGCCCTGTGACAGTCCAATGGGGATTTTGTCTACTTGCACTGAGGAGGGTGGCTCAACCAGTACGCGAAAAGATGACTCATGTAGGGTCAAGTCGATTATCAAATGATTGTCCCGATGCGTGACAGGAAGGATATAGGCCAGGCGATATCCGTTGCCCTGGTCAAAGTAAAAGTTAGGCAGGTACGTCCAATAAAGCTTTCCTATCAATGTTAAATATGACGCGAACTATGAGAAATGCAACCAACGTTATGGGATGTTCAGCAACGCTTGTGTATACTACTGGCGGATTTGTGAGTAGTGTACTTTTCGTAGCAAGTAGAAGCCACAATTGGACTATACAATAATCTGCCTCGAAGGGGAATCGAACCTCGGACCCACGGATTACCAGTTCGCTGCTCTACCACTGAGCTACCGAGGGCTGACGATCAGGTGCGCAATTTCATACATGATTTCTGCTTGGTTCGCGACGTATTGCGTATACGTCAAACCCTCTGCCCAACACAAGCGCGTACGAGTGCCACGGCGTACAAGTGTACCGTGATTGGACGAACGGTTATCGATTAATTGCCAATAGAATCAATATTTGTGCGCCTGCCGCTGGTAACCATTGTTCCGAGTATAGTTTATTACTCTTATTTTGTGTTGGACGTCTATGCTTAAATCGTTGGGATTAGGCCATAAATGCTACAGGTTACCGCGTTGCAGATAAGCTTGGTTCCCTTACTATAGCAGAAAATATTACGTCAACTTTTATCAAGTTTTAGATAGAAATCCTGTAAAGGTTCTTACGCCTTTGTGTTTCTGTCGGAGTAAAGCCGCTGCAGAATGACCGATTGACAAACTTAGGGCACACTGACAGCTCTTTATCCGCCAAGTTGCGTCCAGTTGCTACTGTGAGATACTGCGTAGTGAACTGCCGTAGTGTGCTGCACGCTTTGATAGGTGTTTCCCATCTTAGCGCGGGTCACTTTTGCGTGAATGGCTGGGGGGCGCTCCACCAGCTTTCATTCTGGCCGAACGACCGTCTGAAATGGGACTTGCTCACATCAACCGACATTAAATTCGTGGGACTACTGGAAAAACAGGCTTCCTTTGTTAAAACAATACAACTACTGCCCAACCTGCTATGGTGGTCACCTGTCTATGGCGACCAGCCGAAAACATCCCAAGGTTTTGTGTTATGAGTAATGTCCCTATGTATGAACTTGTCCATGGCGACTGCCTATCCAAGGCGACCACATTTTGTTGGTCCGTTGAGTGGTCGACCAAGACAGGTTTCACTGTACCTGCAGGCAAATGACGAAATTACTGGAATTCTCTCCAATAGCAGTTCAATTACAACGATCAAATGTTCAGGCAGCTAAAAGGCAGAGAACTAATGAGAAGATTCGTGGCAGCTGGACTTAGTCAGACAGCCACCTCACCTCCGGAAAAGCGCTGGACGGCCATTTTGTACTATTGTGACCCGTCTGTAGCGCGCACCGGCTGAATCCTGCCTGAGTCAAACCCACGACATTACTCTTATGAGTCGGTGACTTATACCAATAAATCCGCCTACTACTCACAAATAAGAAGCACACCATTGGGATCGCCGATGTCTGGATTAGTAGCGAATTCAGTAATGTAGGCGCTGGAACGACGAACACTCCTAACTGCAAAAGCAACCTTTGGATAATGTTCGTAAGCGATACATTTGTCACCGTCAAGCGTTTCAAGTTAACAGGGACACACGGACTATTCAACAGTCTGTTCAAGGATATCCAAGTTACCAACACGGAGAAAACAACCTAAAAGCCACAATACTAGACGTTCTTATCCGAAGAACTGCTTTGGAATCACTGGGATCAGTAGTCTGTGGAAAATATATACAAACTGGTCAGATAAGGAACTACGGCAGCAATCCTCATACAAACCACAAACTCAACGGAGTGACAGCGTCATTCATACACGTAGGTACGCAGTGTAACATATGGTAGCTGAGGAGGGCGGCGGCAGACCACCTGTTCGGCCTGTTCGAATGGAACTCGTACATGAAGGGCTTCGTTCTGTGCTACTTGACACCTCCAAGTTAGCGCAACACACCTCAACAAATACAAAACTGTAAGAGTCGCGTTGTCCGATGTCAATGGAGTATTGGGAATGATAGCGAAACTTTCACGGCCTCTTGGAGTGTAGTTTTCCCACTGACCAACCTAAAGTATTCGAAATAGATAAGCTCTACAAAGAGGAAACGGCTGATGTGATCTACAGGATCTGCTACCGAAATTTTCCAAATACTGCGTGGGACAAACAGGAAGAAAGGTTGACGCAAGGTTACATTAATGGTTCCAGGCGATTCTCCATCACCATCAAAACTCGTTGCTGGCCATGCATGTGAAAAGCGAAAAACACTTATTTGACCTAGAGCAAATGAAATTCCTTGGAAGATTCAAAAATTGGCAAGCACTTGAGTTCATCAGAGCCTAACGTTCAAATCAGCACTCTAGCATCAAGCGTTTGGCTGTAGACGCAGTATACGATGCTTTGCAAAGCAAGCACTTACGGCCGCGCTGAGAATACTGCTTAACCTGACTACAAACATCTGAAATTCAATCGGTCAGCTCAGAGAACAATGCAAAATTTACATCCACACTCCAAATGCAGATATTATCAACTATGCAATTTTCCAGTTATAAAGGGATATGTTCCAATTCTCGTGCTTATATGGTCGAAGTTGTGATCTTTCTAAGACTAGAAGTTTGAAGACAATGGGATGAAAGAGTGTTATTTAGGCCGGGGGGAGATGAGAAGAAGTGTACAACGATGTTAGTGTTGATGCTCGGACAGCTGAGATCAGGTCAACACTTGCCTGAGACGTTAGGGAACCGTGTGTGCTTGGTCACTAGTGACTGTGAAGCGTTACTCACATCTGGTGGACTAAGGCCCACCAGTTAGTGTTCGTACCATAGTATCTGTTTGACTCGAGCAGTCTACACTGGCTAGATCATGTACTTCACCGGTGTGCCGGCGAACCAGCCAGTTGTCTCAGTGTGCGTTATTTGTCCACTAGCTTGTAGTGTGACACCCTATTTTACTGATCAGAAATGAAATTGTTATTGACTTATAGACCTCCTAATCTGTCGTGGTTTGTATGCTGAAGACGATGACCAAGAAAATTTTGCATTGGCCTTCGTTTCGATGGTTCGTTTTTAATGTTTCACTGTATATTTTTATCCATCTGCAGGTAACAACACCCCATACAAGCCTAGTATGATGCATTTTCATCACATAGCATGATGATGCTACCATGCACCTATCATCCGGAGTTTATTGGATAAATTGCTGATGCCTTGCACTACTACTAGTAAATTACTGGCGAAGTAAACGCACATCAGCAGTATACCATACAAAGCCCAGTGCTAATGATGGGGCATTTAAAGTATTGAAAACTTCGTAGGATACAGCTTGTGGTACTGCTGCGCAGGAATTTCGTTATTTCCTTAGTTATTTCATCCGTTCACTTCCAGTACAGGACGCCGATGCCTGGAAAGCGAGTTGATAGCTGGGGCAAATGTTGTTGCTTTTGTGGGGAATTGACATTCGTATGCCGGAAGTGTGCAGCGATATTGCTCTACTGAAGGCATACTGTCCTTAATTCGCACGTTGAATTGGCGACCTCAACAAACCCTGGGCCCAGCATCCATGTACAACACAAAGTTTCAAAGGGGTTGGTAGCAAAAATCATACTTGTCGTTTGTGGTCCCAATGTTGTGGAGAAATCCAAGTAGCCATACCAGTGCCTATTAGTTCGGCTTGATCGCTCCTCTTTCCGGCGGGATAACAAAGTAAAAGCAGTGGGGTGCGGTATATCCTAAGACTGTTTTTGCAGTGGGATCAGTTCCCAATGGTGAGCGACCTCCAACTCTGGAACATCCAGCAGAATACTCACTGTATTCAGCTGATGAGGAAGCGGGTGAATAAACTTGCTCTTCTGTTAGTCTGTCAGCGTACTGTGATCTAGCTTCCCATTACAACGACTGATCAAGCAAACATAGGAAGAAATAAGTGAACTTGTTATTGATGTGGTTTATCCAAAATGAAGTCAGCATTGCCTGGCTATTTCATCTAAACTAGTCAGATATATATTTTTATTCCTCTTCTCATTTTTGCTAATCTCATTTTGGTGACACGTAGCAAGACTATCGGAGCAGTCGTAATCCGGTGCAAGGAGACTGGTCAAGCTGAGCCGGTCGGCATGTAGGCGATTGGTATAAGGTGCCTGCTTCGTAGCCCGGAGGTCACCAGTTAGAGTCTACGTAGATGCGGGCAACATCATACAACTGATTGTGCAGAAAAGACTATGTGCACAAAGTTTAATTTAGTTCAAGAAGGAGTTTAATGCACGCAACTGGCTGAATGTTCGGATGTTGACCAGAGAAGAGTTTGTTTAAGGAGAGAATTAGCGATTAGTCAGTGATTAGTCATTGAGGCCGTCCCATAAGAACACCAGGTCAGCATCGGGAAGACTCTTGATCACCCTTCGGTTATACCGACCTATCCCTTTCGATATCTTGGAATAAGCTTGAAATTGATCGGGAAACCATCATTCCAGATCTTGAGAATAATCGGTTAATGTACTTGTCCAACTATCCATGTGTTTAACCACAGCGAGATAAAAGGCACTCAGCACAAGCGCGCCGGCTGATGGAATGCTGATTCTCTCTGGACGTGCTTGCTGTGTTGCTTACGTAGTGGATACCAACTCGCTAAAGAAAAAGGAGCTATACCATTAGCAGAGCGATTGAAACATCACATCTAATCCTAGGACATGGGGCTGGTAGAATGCCTAGTCGCCCAAGTGCATCATCCTTTGCAAGATTGCTTAACCAATCGATACAGCCTGACGTACACCACGCAGTTTTGGGCATCGAACCAGTATGAGTAGAAGTTTTGAAAGGTGGTCATTGTCAGACACCCAGTAAAATTCACTAAAACAGTAGACGACCACTCGTCTTTTCGGGACACGTTACCAGTGAAAATGCTCTTGACCTAGAGACAGGATCGAAATGGTGACCCAACTAATCCAGTTTGTGTGTCACAGTGGAGATCAGAGCCCACATGGCTTTACGACACGGCGTGATCAAGAGATCTCGGACTGCGTTTTACAGAAATCGTACTTCGGTTTGAATCTCCCTACAGGGCCGAAGGAATGCGTAGGGCCTATGAGTTCCGTGAGGACCAAACGGCAGTCCTGCTGTGTGATGATAGTCTGGCAGGGCCTAGTTGTAATGAGCATCCCATTTCACAAATCAGAGTGGATGCCACTGCAAAGTAGAGGAGCTCTTCGCTTTTCAAAAGGAGTGCTTTACATAATGGACAAACTAGTACTTCCACAGATAACCCGGTAAATCAAAGGCTGCAAAAACGTGTAGGTGGACAACAGGGAATTCGCTATATACTACTAGTAAGACAAGCATAAAGTATCCGAGGTTGTGTAAAACAAAAAGTAGTTTTCAAGGGAATGTTCAAGTAAAAGCTGCGACCGCATCACTGGTAAGTACACCTTCCTAAAGTACCAGCCATTTTAGGTGGTTTTCCAGTTTAACACGTTATACAAATATTAGACCTTTTAGTTGCCATGAAGGTGCACAGCGACACTAGACGGGATTCTCGTTCAAACAGTGATCGCGTCAGCTAGCCAAATGAATTTCGGCAAATATGTGAGACGAAAATGAAAAACACTTATCTGCGCGGTTTGAATCACATTTCAAATAACCCCAACACGCTCCCATACTGCTGGTGACCTCATAGTGGACGACTGTCCAAACTCACCTCAATAACTATATCTGGCTCATTGAGCCACATGTAGTCCAACTGATCTCGAACAGCCAAAGAGGTCGAGGTGGAACGCTCAGCCATATCCTTTAGACTGCCCAATATCCTCGTTAGCGTAGGGGAATTAAAGCGCAAAATGACCACAAGTCGCGCACGATAGGCAGCGATTTGTTTTCCCAGGTAGTCCACCGGAGATGACCAGTAATAACCTCGGTCGACAGGTTTCAGACTGGCCGAACTGAGCCACGATTCTACGGTACGAACATCAGAAAACAGCGGGAATTCCTCTTCTCCAATGGCGCTATCATGATGAGCTACGGGATAAGCACCGTCCAAAGATGCATCAGGTACCAGAATCTTCCATCCGCTCAGTGTAGAGACCTACAAATAAGTGAAACATGAGTTCTTATTGACGGAAGCAAAGTGTTTGTGAACTATTCTCGTAGTAGAGCAGTCACTTCAACACATTTGAACACAGATGATAACGACTGAAAACCACACCCATGTGAGCAATTACGATTACAAAATCTGCATCTTATAGGACTGGTCGACGGGTCATGCATAAGACACGGATTCCTTTTTAGTCTTATGTCTCGGCTACACTGTGCTAGAGTAAGCTGTACATGCTACAGCATCAGGTCGTCCCTGACTGCCCCATATGTGCCCCAGAATAGAATAAATTACTTAGCATAATCACTGTACCTGGTTTTGGACATGGATATCGAACGATATCCGAGCAAGCTTTCTCAACTTGGGTTCTCTTGTCCAGCGTGTAATTCAAAAGGATGATTCCATGCCCAAAGAAAAAACATTAGTGTACGGTTTGAACTGGTTGCATTCAATGTCGACCATCGGAATACGCTTCCGGTGCTCAAGTTTGGGTCCACATCAGTTTAAGCACCCACAGCTGGGAAGGCCATAGGAAACGATGGACCATCTTATATATATATATATATATATATATATATATATATATATATATATATATATAATATATATATATATATATATATATATATATATATATATATATATATATATATATATATATATATATATATATATAGGCGGGAGAGCTCATGGTGCGTTGAGGCTTGTGGTGGTTAGATCCTGACAGATGTTCTATCCACTGCTGCTACTGTTGTGCCATGGGCTCATGTCCTGGACACCACGTGTCCACCGCTGGGTGGGAGTTGGGTTCCGCCCTTCTCCCTGCTAAGATCCAGGACACCAATCCAAATAAGTCAGTGAATTGACCATATGCTAGACCCGCTGCATTTCAGTTGTACATTTAATCGCAGGCTTTGGATGTGGACCCGAGTCATTCTCCTGGCAGGTGTGGGTGCCCTGCCAGTATCCTAGTCCATCCCCTTCGGAGATTAGGAACTGGTTGATGGCCCTCTTCCCGTAAAATCTAACCATGTAAGACAACAGGTCTACGGGTTATAAACTCAATGCTCGATTGGCGTAGAGCACGAGCACTACGAATTGTCTCTGAGAGTAGGACGACACCTCCGGGTGCTCAGTGGTTTGCTACTGGCCGTGTCAAGCCAGGCAGCACATGGTCAAATTGGTGCAAACTCGCTAAAACCCTCCTGCGTCTGGCCCTGGTAGCAGATGTATCCTACTACGGTCGCAAAACACATATGTATTGTTCCAGTACCTCAAAGGCTGCGTGTGCCGGCCGTCAAGCAGATCCCATCTATCTCTGCAACCACATTTCCCAGCTGGATCTGCTCCCAACTGTTTAGCGGGTCAGGTTATTGAGTCAAATGCTCCGGGCGGAGTCTCTCAAGCAAACCTCCGAAGCACAACCACCATCACGCTTGCCCACCAATGCAATCGTATGCCTGCGCACAAAGCACTCAACATCGGGTGCTGGAACGTGCGCACACTATTGGACTGAAATTCGAGTGAGCGCCCCACGCAGGGCACTGCACTGGTCGCGATGGAACTGGCGCGCTACCACATCGATATTGCGGCGCTCAGAGAGACCCGGCTCGCTGAGCAAGGTAAGTTACATGAAGCTGGTGCCGGCTACACGTTCCACTGGGTGGGAAACACCAGCTCAGAACCACGTGAACATTGGGTCGGATTTAAACTATCTGATCGCCTCACTGGCCAGCAGGTGGGTGAACCACTTGGCATCAGCGCGCGACTGATGACTGCTCGCCTCCGACTCGGACTAGGTAAGTTTGCCAATTTTATAAGTACGACGGTCCGACCACGTGTTATCCTAACGATAAGCATAATCAATTCTACACTAAGCTATCTTTTGTGATACGGTCTGTGTCAAGGAGCGACCGACTATTTCTTCTGGGTGATTTCAACGCGCTCATTGGGCGTGATACATCGGTGCGGAAAGATTTCATCGGTCCGCATGGCATTGCATTAGCGAATGTGAACGGTGACAGACTACTCTCACTGTGTGCAACTCACGGTCTGACGATCACGAACACTCGGTTTTCATTGAGTGCGGATGATATAGCAACTTGGACACATCCACAGAGTGGTCACGATCACCTGCTGGACTATGTTATCGTACGTAGCGTGACATGCGTGAAGTACGCATGATGCATGTACCGCGTGGAGTTGAGAGTGGCACTGATCACAAGTTGGTGCGGACCAAATTATACATATATTTTCGTAAATCTAGGTATTACACTTCTGCTGAGAAGTGGTGTACATTTAAGCTTCTCTCCCTCGGTATTGTGGCGAAACGTATTGATCTGGAGAAGGCGAGAGCTTTACAATTGTGTGATGTGAAATGTGTAGCGATAGTGGGTGACCAGTGGCACAACATTCGCGTCCAGGTGACAGCTGTTGCCGACGAGACCATCGGGCGCGCAAACTGTAAGCAGCTCAATTGGTTTGGTGACAACAATGCGGCAATTGGCTCACTGGTGTCTGGGAAGAATGCAGTGCTTGCTGCACATGAGGCAGACGCTAGTGACTTGGGGAAGAAGAGTCAGTTTCGCAAAATTCGACGGCGACTGACCCGAGAGCTGCGTCACATGAAAATTGCGTGGTGGACGGAGAAGGCGAAGCTGATGGAATGCTACGACAAACACCGCCAACACAAGGAATTCTTTGACTCCTTGACGGCGGTATATGGACCAAGGTTGGATCGGCTGTGGATGTTAATCGATGGTAGTTCAGGCGCTACCTGCACGCAGATTTCAGACGTAATACAGATCTGGCAAAAACGCTTTGACTGTCTCTTGAACAATCGTTCAGAGATTGACTGGCCTAACTTGAACGGCCTGAATCAGCACGAAGTGAAGGTGAGTTTGGCGGACATACCGACAGTGGGTGAGACATCGAGAGCACTTGCTCAACTGCGAAACGGCAAGTGTGCCGGGGCCGACGGGATCCCGCCTGAAGTATTGAAACACGGCAGACCGGCGTTGGTGACTGCGCTGCACCACTTGGTGCAACGCGTGTGGATTGAGGAGGAGGTGCCTCCTGAGCTGAAAAATGCATTTGTGCTACCACTGTACAAAGGCAAAGGGAGCAAGCAATGTTGCACGAGTTATCGTGGCATCAACTTGCTGAGTTGTGTGGGCAAGGTGATTGCCCGAATCCTGCTCAACCGCCTCGTGAGTCAGATTGTGGAACCTAACGTGGAGGAAGAGCAGTGTGGAATCAGTTAGGGTCGCAGCACCATCGATATGGTGTCTGCGACTAGACAGTTGCAGGAGAGGTGCAGAGAACGACACCAGCCTTTGTACTCGCTGTTTGTTGATTTCACCAAAGTAATTACGGTGAACCGCGAGGCATTGTGGCTGGTGTTGGGTAAGTTTGGTTGTCCGAGTAAGTTTAGTTGAATGTCTGCACAGTCGTATGCGGGCGAAGGTGCAGCTGAGTGGACAGACCTCGGATGACTTTGCAGTTGTCTGTGGTGCGAAGCAAGGCTGTGTCTTAGCTCCTGCCCTGTTGAATATTTATCTTCATGCAATGATGTCTTGTGCTTTTGATACCGCTTGTGCTTACGGTGTTCGTGTGGAGCACCGTATTGATGGTGGGTTGCTGAACATCCGTCGTTTCGGTGCGAGAACCCTAGTCTGTGGGACAACTATCCGTGGGTTGCTGTTTGCTGACGACTGTGCATTGCTTGCGCACAGCGCGGATGAGTTGCAGCACATGACTAGTGCTCTGGCTTCGACAGCGGCCAAATTCGGGCTCACCATCAACACAAGCAAGACTGTTTGTCTTTTCCAGCCTTCACCCGGAATGGAGTCCGTGGGCCTGCCCCAAATCCAGATTGCCGATGAAGTGTTGGAAACTAATTCAACATATTGCTACCTTGGTAGCATAAGAACAACCGACCAGCAGATGACGAGCGAGCTGCGCAGCCGCGTATCGAAGGCGGCTGCTGCTTTTGGCAAGCTGGAATGCCGTGTGTGGAACAACCACCAGCTCACTGTTGGGACGAAGCTGCTGGTATACAAGTCTATGGTGCTGTCCGTTCTTCTGTACGGCAGCGAAATTTGGACGCCTTATCAAAATGATGTCCGATATCTGGAGCGATTCAATCAGCAGTGTCTGCGCCGTATTATGCGCATCGGCTGCAGTGACCGAGTTGCAGACACAGAGGTGCTCCGACGCAGTGGCAAGTATGCAGTGGAGAGCATCATTCTCCTGAGGCCCCTGAGGTAGCTCTGGCATATTCACCGCATGGATTCGACCCGGATACCGAAACAGCTGCTTCATGGCAAACTGAGAGTAGGAAAATGACACATGGGAAAACCGAAGTTACGTTACCAGGACATGATCAAAGTGAGCCTATCATGTTCTAATGTTGATTGTAGGTCATGGGAATTGAAGGCGGTTGATCGGCGTGAATGGCGCGATCTGATCACGAAGGCAGTTGCTGAGGTGCAGGAGAAGGCCCTCATGCATGCAGAGAAGAAGCGGCAGTTGCGGAAGTGACAGACGCCGATGGGCTGTAGTCCACCGACTTCGAGCGCATGGTTGTGTAGCACATGCGGTCACGAATGCTTGAGTCAGGCAGGTTTAGTGAGCCATGAGCGAGGCCACTCGGGTCCAGCATCGAAACGACGACGAGTCCTGCTGAGAGCGTAGGCAGAACCGGTGCAGCCTTGGTACGTACGCTGCATTCGATTTATTAACCGCATGCTTGCATGCTGAGTCTCTTTATTTCAGGTTGTTGCATTGTTACCTCGTCTTAGTGTTATTTTGTTAACTCATTTTCATGTGTACCTGAATAATCTATTAAATGGCATATTTCGCTTAAACTAAAGGTGGTTAACTTCGCTTACTTTTTTCGCCTCACATATGTGTCTTGGTCCCTTTTCCTGCCATCCTAAATCTATCACGGCTATTTTGATAATCCATTTATTTCATATGCTAATTTAGCG